TAAACTCTCTCTCTCTCTCTCTCTCTCTCTCTCTCTCTCTCTCTCTTTAAGTAATTTATAAGTTTTAAATAAATGAAAATGATTTTTTCTTTAAAACTTGACAGATTAGATCAAACCCATATTGTTACAAGGGAAAGCCCCGTCTTCTAACTGGAAACCAACTCCTAAAAGTCAGCATGGAATTAGAGACAAAACTTGAAGAGGTTTCACTTCCATTCTTGCTTGTTCATGGGGGAGATGATAAAGTCACCGACCCATCTGTCAGCAAACTTCTCTATGAATCGGCTTCTAGCACAGACAAGACCTTCAAGTTGTATCCAGGGATGTGGCATTCTCTTATTTATGGGGAGTTGCCTGAGAATATTGAAATTGTGTTTTCGGATGTCATTAATTGGCTTGATGCCAAAATTGCTGCTGGGAACTCCAGGCTCGAAATAGAGCAAAAGCGCGCAAATGACATTTTGCTCAAAACTTGAGCTGCTTCAACTTCGGACCATCTTCAGAGGATTTCTCGGATAAGGGACCAGATTGAAGTCTTAAAACTTCTTTAAACTTCTCATCGTTAGAGGACCACTTGTTTACAACTATATATTGCTCTTGTATTTCAATCTTGTAAAAAGCCTTAATTCTTTGTAACTTCTAAGTATAACAAAATACATTCCAATTCATCACACTACGTTTATTAATAAGGACGTGCTCAATAGATTTGACAGTACTACATAGTACATATAAATACATCAAAAATATTTTAATAATGAAACTTTTCCCAAGAAATACAACGATCAATTGAAAATAAAAGGGCACTAAATACATGAACAAATAAACAAATAAGCATTTAATGTGAACAATAGGATTATATAGGTGAGACAATAGAGAGAGGTTTAAGGAGAATGAAAATGAAAAATTACAAATAAAAACCAGAATAGTTGACAATGAAATTGGCTACCCGAAAACCAGACAACAATGAAGAGATCCCTATGAAGAGGAAGCCGGCGAATCCTAAGGCTATGGAAATGTCCGATTGAATGCAAAATGTTTTGCTGACCGTACAAGTGTCCGTTTCCTTTAAAGTTCGAGCCAATGTCGCCCCTGCCGAGTTGGCTGATAGCAATACATATGCAAATACCTTCAACCAAGGACCAAATATGTCACATTTCTATCTCTCAAATTATTTAGAGAAAGGATGTGTGCGCCACCATTTGAATAGAGATATCAGATATTGCCAGTTCTTTAAAATAATGAAATTATAAATAAGACCAAGTAACAAATTTCATTACATCAATTCAGGTTCTTGGTAGTCTATATTAAGTCACAGAATAGTATTTATATCACAGGGGCTACTTCTGTCCATATTATTTCTAGACAAAAATAGAATTTTGTGCTTCATGCAATCTGAAGTCAATTTTTGATTACCAGAACAAATCATATGGTTCTGGGATTTCGATTAGTTTTAGAGCCAAGTGTTGGCATATCGCGTTTCTAAAAGTGTAAATTGGACAGGGACGACCAACATTTACAAAGTATACATTTATGTGTTCTCCTCGAATATAGAAGAAAAGAAGAAAGTATGCTCCTAAAATTTTCGAATAAAATCATTAGTGCGTACTAATATTCATGTACTAAAATGGATGAAACTTCTTAGTGTTTCTTTTACAAAAATGTATGCACAAACAAAAGTAACCCATTTTGCTATCTTCTCCGGTCGTCTTGCTATTGAGCTGCTCACTCACTCTTAACCTAAATCGAATGTAAGAATGATCAGTTTGGATCCCCGAAATACAAACCATTTCAGATATGATCCGAGTCCGACGGTAGAACTATGGCATTTTAAGTGTCAAGAGGCTTTTTACTTCGATTTTTTCCGTTATAAATTAACTTAAAGAATATAATTATCTTTTCAAGATAAATATGGCATTTTAAGTGTCAAACTGAATGAACTTGTCAACTAGTGATAGTGGTAGGAATATATGCTTGAACCAAGCACGGGACGTGTTAGGCCACGTCGATCTAGTTGTTTTACACGACTAACCAAGGATCAACTTGCTACAATGTTAAAAGATAGAGTACCAATCTTACTTGGCAAGTCTGGGACTCGAACCAAACATGGCACGTGTTAGGCTAGGCTGATCTAACCTGTTTTCCACAACTAACCCAGGATCGACTTGCTAAAAATTAAAAGGTAATCTAGGCGTCGGATCAAGCATGGCATGTGTTAGGCTAGGTCGATCTAGCCCATTTTACACAACTAAGTCTAACCAAGGATCAACGTGCTATAAATTTAAAGGTAGAATACCAAGTAAGTTAAGAAGTAAAAAACACAACTACTATATTGAAAAGATGTACCTGGTCGTGGCCGAAATCAAACCAAACCTGTACGATTTCGGGTAAAATAGTGGAAGCTCTCAAAATTTCCCAAATTGAAGCTCCAATTTCCAATAGCGAATACAATGCCACAATTGAATTTGCGACAGCTACAAATCTACGATTAAACAAACAATTCTTCGATCAGCTACCAGATAAATCAAAATATATCCTAAACAACAAAAAGGACGTAAAATCCAGAGCAAATTTGTAACATTCACTTCTACCTGTACGCTTCAAAATCTAGCCAGCCAGGTAAATCCGAGCCCTTGGAGTTAGTCAACATGAAAATCGCGGCGGCAAGAGAGAAGCAGAAGGCGGCGAATCGGAAGACAAGAATCAGAATATTGAAACGGCGAAGCTTGTGTACAGAAACGGTGGACTGGAATCGAGTTCCCGGCATTGGTGGCGTATCATTTCCAGTCGCCGCCGCCTGAAGCTGTGGTGATCTCATTGTAGAATTACAGTATTATTCACTTGATAATTGAAACATAGGAATAACAAGTGGTCACTATTATTCATTCATCATAAACAAACAAGGAAAGGCGCGGCTGAAATAACCTAGAAACTTCTGAAAGATTGCTTTCTTGATTATTATTCTTGAAATTGATATATTGTGGAGGTGAAAATGAGTTGGAGCTATTTGGTCACGGGATACTGCGGTGCTTGACTTCCATTGATAGATATAGAAAGAGAAAGTAAACAGTTGTACAGATATAGAGAGAGAAAGAAAGGACATACGACCATACGGGGAAGGTGCACAAAAAAGAAAGAAAGTAAAAAGGAGCTTTTTGAGACACCCCTCCAGAGGTAAAGTAACTGTGAAGCCCTTCTTTTTCGTGTGCTTTCCATATTCTCTGTTTTTTTCTTGGAGAGTACTTCCAGTCAGAAAATTTTACCATTTTAGTTGACATAATAACGCCCGAAGAGCCTGTCATTAACCAATTTATAAAAGAACCGTGCTACAGTGCCCGTGTAGTTGATCGCGAGAATGACCGCACTCACACATTCCAATTTATAAAAGAACCGTGCTACAGTGAGGGGGTTGGATTATTTTATTCTGGGGTGGGACCCACACCGAGGCTGTGAGTGTGCGGTCATCCCCGCGGTCACCGGAGCGAGTCGTTTAGCATTATTCTTTATAAAAACCAAACAATTTTTCCATCCGTCGCTCGCTGCCACCAATGCATATGTCATCCAAGGTGGTAAATTCATCCGACAAGAAAGCATTATTCTTTCGGTTGCGAATCGACAACATTTCGAAATTTATCGATTTCAATATTCGGTTGAATAATCCAACTTTGATCGTTCAATTCTCAATATTTCATTCAAAATTGATGATTCTAGTTCTAACTTTTTATTTTATTTTTATCATTCTACGCCTTTTTGATCGCATCAAGCTGGTAAACTAGGATTTTGCATCTTTGTTACGTTAAATTTTTATAATATTGAATGTGATTTACTGCATATATACTATATAGCATGTTTATTAAAGTTTATAATTATGTTAAAAGTTCGTCAAACCCTATTTTTATCCAAAAAAAATTCCGCTTTGACGAACATACGTAAATTGCTTGTATCTTTATGTTTGAAGTATCTTAAATATTCCAATTTTTATGTTTTTTTATCTGTAAAGGTCAAATATATTGATCAAAAATCATATAGAAGTACACCAAACATTCCTTGACGAACAAGGGTGATGCTACATGTACACCCCTTGCATTACACAATCCTTTACACCCCCTCACATGGAGGGGGGCCCACGATTATTTTATTATGTGTGGGCCCTCCTTCATGTGAGGAGGGTGTAAAGGATTGTGTAAAGAATTATGTACACATGGCTTTATTCGACGAACAAATATCAAGTATGTATACAAGTACACTGGACATGCTCGGACGAACAAAATGAAGGTTATGTACAAACGATGTTGTCTATAAACCCAAAACTAAGGTCTTGAAATGAATCAAAACATCCAATTTTTATGTTTTGCAAAGCTTGAAGTGCTCATTCTTGAAAGACGTGAGTACACATAGCCATAAAATAAAAATAAAAAAATCAATAAAATTACAAATTCGACCTCTGTTCAACAAGGTACAATCTTATTCATGGATTTTGAAGCAGTGGTTAATTTCGGATTTCTTTTTCTAATTTTCAGTTTGTTCTTTCTTCATCCTTTCCAATATTCTTATTCCTTTAAGAGATGTTATCTTGATAGAATATATCCAACCAGAGATAGCTCAATCGTTAGGCAAACCGATTATTGTCCAAGGCCTTGAATTTAAGGAAGGCTCTCAAATTTTAAAATTTTCATATTCTAGTTTTTTTTGACAAATAAATATTTTTAACAAAAAATTAAAATTAAAATCAACCGTCAAGATTCAAGTAAATTTAACGAATGCTCACCCAACTTTGGTGTATATTACTACTTGCTCACCGAATAACAAAACATAACTTATTGCTCACTTACCCACATCTCCGTCTACTAAACTAATGGAATATGCCATGTGACAGATGAAAATCCCACGTGGCACAAATCAGACATGAAATGAAATCAGGTGGTGGCGTGGCACGTGAAATGGCAACAACAGTCATCCTCTCCTTTCCGCTACCCTCTTGAGTCTCGAATTTTAACCATGGAGTTCCTCCATGCATGTGACAGCAAACCCAGATTAAAATTCCAACCAAAGCCATTACTGGAGAGTAGACAGATTCCAATTCCGTTTTCACTCTTGCATTAATTTACTTCAATTTTGAACCCATAAAATTCGCTTTCTTATTGATTTCTATTTTCCTTCTTCTGAGCCCATCAAATTCATTCCATTTTCAGCCTGAAGTTCCCATTGAAATAAGTTAGAAAATCAACTGGAAATTGACGAAAATATTTAAGAGATAGACAGAAGATGATGTAAAATTTGATGGATCTTTGGGGAAATCAATGAATGTTGCTGATTCATTGATGAATTTGGAGAAAAGTGAGGAGAATGATAATGGGTCTTCTGTAAATTTGGAGAAAGACGGGGAAAGGGAGTGGAGTGTGGTGGATGAGGAGGTACTAAAGAAGTTAATGGTGAAACATTCGGTGGAGAAGTCAAGCCAATGGGAGGCGATAGCTAAGGTGGCACATTGGTTGGTCATTCTGGCAGAGAATGTACAGGAGGCGGAGGCAGGGATTCAGGCGATGTTTTTTGAGCCGAGCTTGGGTACCAGGCTTTGGTTCACAGGCCGGTACCCGGCTCTCTCACATTGGGAGGGGTGGGTACATTTTTGGGGGGTTTTTTTTATTGAGGTGGCAGACCCACGTCATTGTGAGGGGAGGACTTTACCAGGCCTGGTAAAGTAGAAAAATCCAAGTTTTTTTATAAAGGCTGTAAACCGACCTGATTTCATTTCATGTATTTATGTCCCATGGGATTTTCGTCCGTCACGTGGCACGTTTCGTTTGTTTACGTTGACAAAGATGAGATGGCTGAATGACGAGTAAATAATTGGATAGATGGGTAAGCAACGAGTATTTTGCTGTTGAGTGAGCATTCACTAAATTTACTCATCAAGATTCTTTCCCTTCTTTCAATCTTTGTTTTTTCATTTTTCCTTTTCTTGAAAACTTCAGAGACCATTTATTTTTCCAATATACAATCAACATACACTATATTACAATTTATAATCAACTATCCTGCAGCTCCCTCTAGATTTCTTGGTTGACCTCGACAACTTGGATTTCAAAGAAATGAATAAAAACCTGAGCTAGTGGTAGTGGCTCAAAACTTCCGGCACCGAGGGAAGGGTGTACACAGTACATATCCCAGATTCCCAGGTGAATATCCTACTAATATTCTTACTCAATGAGATTAAATAAAGTAACTAATTCACTTAGCTTTTATTTGGCGCTGATTAAAATTTTGATAAAAAATAAAATAAAATAAAATAATTAATTAATTTTAACCACATATTTCATAAATTTTATAACTTTTCAACCACACATTTCATTAATTTTTATCAAAATTTATTAAAAATTCAATTTTTAACTACACGAAACTGGGGCCTAATCTTCCATCTTCTTGGCGAGTAAAAATCATGTAATCATATCATCTCAAGAACATAATCAACTTCCTACCTACATTAAAAGAGGGCAAGGCTCGTAACACTGTTCAATAATTCTTTATATATACCTAATGTGATGAGATATGATCGAATCAGAATTTTTTCAACCAAATAAAATAAATGCTCGCTCGCTCGCTCACTCACTTTTCGGCACCTCAGATATCTGTATGTAAATTATTATATAAAACATTATTCCATTTGGTTCTTGAGATATTACCTTAGATTTAGACCTAGGCCCCCTTTATTCTTTTTCTTACAAATAGTAAACCCCTACCCTTCTAATTCTCTTTCTTTTTTTTTTTTTTTTCCTATTTTATTATCTACCCCTTACAAACAAGCTCTCAGTTAGTACTCTCGACTTTTTCAGATTTGAGTTCCATTTCTTTACTTTTTAAATAATTAATGGCAATTTAAGGAGTACGTGCGTCATTGTCATACTTAATGGCATTCTTAACATCTATAAAGGTTTCATGAATGAATCCTTACATAGAAAATACAAAGTCAAGGTTCCAAGTTGAACGGTACCTAAACCTGCATGATTTCTTTTGTAATAATTTTTAAATTTTTTAAGGTCAAACTGGCCATAATATATAGTAATTGAAACAATTGCATGATACTTACTACCGCTATTATTAAATTCTAACTTATTAATTTAATAATAAAATCAAGAGTTTTATTTAACTCCAAATTAATATTGGAAGTTATTTTTTGGTCTATGTATAACTCTCACTTTCTTGTTGTCTTCCGCACTTAAAAAAAAATGATCTAAAAATTATTTTTTCTCAAATATTGCTCGAGTAATTGAGGGTCTTGAAAATCGCTCGTGATTGTTGCACGAGTGATTCAGTCGTTTATTAAATAAAGGATTGTTCAAAGAGGTTGCAATAGTTTAAATATCTATATATCGTCTTTGGTTTGTTTTTGTATTATTTCACAGTTTGGTGCCTACTTGTAATGACAACTTTTGATTTTGTCGTTGAACATGATATTAACATTCAATTTAAAAATATTTCCTACTAATTCAAATATTTATTTTTGAGAAATGATATTTGTACCGATGGGGGACTACCGAATTGTGTCCCCCCTCTCACATGATTTGTGGGCCCCGCGCACATTAAAAAAAATACCAAGCCGAGGCCCCACCCCCCAGTGTGAGAGGGAGGACACCATTCGATAATTCCCCCTCGGTACATGTAGCATGTCTCTTTATTTTTTATGACAGTTGTTACAACGATAACATTTAGACACAACATTGATAACTATTTGCAACAGTAAAATTTTCTTGGTCATTAGAAACTTTAGTTTTGAAATGTCTTTTTCTTGTAGTAACTGGCTGAGTGACTAGCGGCATG